CATCATCATCATCATCATCATCATCATCATCATCATCATCATCATCATCATCATCATCATCATCGTACAGCGAAATACAGGGCAGCCAACTGATCGCTGCCAAACTCGCAAGGCATACGCATTGTAACTTTTCGTATAAACCCGAACCATTACCGTGTACCGACAACGGTGATTTAGTAACGACAACACCTTATTCTGGATCTCTGGAAAATCGATTTCTCCACGCAGCGAATAACAGTGCATTCCACAACATGCTCTCATTATTGAATGCTCAACACCCTCAACCGTTCCAAGCCTAATGAACCTGATGGTGGTATTGTTTTCTTCTGTACCTCCTCTCATTGCCTTCAAACTTTCATGAGTCGACTCCTCGTGCACTCGATTTATGCACATAATGTTGGAGTACTTACCGACCAAGACGATGAACCACGAGAACAGCAATGCTCTAATCGTAACTCAGTGAATTTGCTTGTGCGCATGTGAATGTTTGTAAACTGCCTGAAGCCGCGTGCCTTCGAAACGTAAGCGAGGCCCACTTGTTTTGTACCACTATAACCAATTGTCATGTGATACATATGAATGGACAAGAACTGTTTCAGTGATTTTCTTTCCTGTGCAGCATCCGCTGGTTGCAGTTTTCGAGCTACGACTGGTCCGTTTGCCATAAACACCACCTGTTCTCAGAAAAATCTTTAAAAATTGATTTCGTTCCAGTCGACCACCAAAACCAATGGTTTAAAAGCGTTTTAAAGCTTTCAGCAGGTGCTGTTCGTTTTGTGTTCAAACACCTGAGCCAAATTTCTTGGTTCGCTTTAAGCCGTGTCTCACTGATTCCCTATTTTCACATATATATTAGTCAAGGCAAATAAACAGAAAACAGAGTAGCGAACAAGTCAATTCAAGTCAAGTAGGATGAATTTTCAGCATTTTCGACAAGTTACAGAGGGAAAAACGTTACGCATTGGAAAAGAAGAAATATACATTCACTAAATGAAAAACAAACGGATTAGATAAAATCCTAATATGCTAGATGATTGCTCATGTCATTAATGATACTTGCTCGGTTGCTCAAGATATGAGCAAAATAAGGATCATGCTATTTTTATGTGTGGCGGTGCGGGCAAAAAGTATCCGAAATTGGGAACGGGTACTCGGTTGAGACACCGATTTATCGAGATGGTTGTGCAGGCAGTGCTCTTCATTGAACAGGATATGGCTGATCAATCGATCGCATGAATCAAAATGCTTGCTCACAGAAAGTTAACCAAAATGGTCTTTGAAATGCCGCTGCAAGGAGAAAGATGTTTAAGAGATCTGGAAAAGAGAATAAAGTCTTTCTCCTTCAGACCAGGAAAATATATGAAGGAACAGTACAACCAACGTGGAAGAATTTATGCAGTCACAAATTTGAGAATTGTGTTTAAGGGCAAGCCTCAATGCGTAGAAGGATAGCCTACGAACCTGAATATAAATATTTTCAACATGTTTGGACCAAGAAAGATTTTGTGACAAAGTGACTCCAAGATATTTCAGAGTTAGCTTTGGGGATGGTATTACTATTAACAGAAAGTTCAGGCTGATTACTCAAAAGGGTTTGATAAGGCATGACTGTTTTAAGGCTAGAAGAAACATCCACGCATTTATCTACATTTAGCATTAACGATCGGGGAGTCGATCAACTAAAA